AGGCGGTTTGAGGGTCTGCCCCCGCCAGCCACAATGTGGGACCCCGCCGAGGCGCTGAGGCCATCCCAGCTCCAGAGCTGCCCCCGGGGTGGGGTCAGCGGAGGCCTGGGTGGGCCTGCATCACGGCTCAGTTTCCCCTGCAGCCTTCATCCCCCCTCCCCCACGCCAGGTGTGGTCCCCAGGGCATTCCCAGTGACTTTCTACATGCTTCTCTCCACTTCTTGGGAGTTCCGCCTGAGACAGCAGTTCAATGAGGAGCAGAGCAAGGTGGCCATGGTGGTGGATGCTTTCTGGAAAAGGGAGGAAGTTAGCTGTGCCCTGGAGAGATGTCTGCTCTGAGGTACCAAGGGCAGGGAGGCAAGGGAGGATGCGGTGAGGGAGCTGTGAGCTTTGCTGGTGGGATGTGAATCATTTCCATTATTTCTGTGAGGTAGAGGTGAGGTCCTCTGGAGAGAGAGCGGAGAGGGAGCAGAGGAGGCAGGGAGGGCCGGAGGTTTGAGGAGAATGAATCCCTGAAGCAGCTGCTGCAGAAAGTGGGAGAGAACAGAAACCCTCTCAGGTTGCCCGTGAGAATGTAAAATGGTGCGGCCACCGTGGAAAACTCTAGTTTGGCAGTTCCTCACAAAGTTCGACACAGAGTGACCGTTTGACCGAGCGGTTCCACTCCCAGGTGTGTGCCCAGGGGGATTAAAACCTATATGGATGGACTGAATGTTTGTGTCCCCCCAGATTCACATGTGAAGCCCTAACTCCCGATATGGTGATGCTGGGAGGTAGGGCCCATGAGGATGGGGCCCCCATGATATTCGTGTATAAGAAGAGGTGCGCCTGGGCAGCTCGGGTCATGATCGCAGGGTCGTGGGATCGAGGCCCTTGATGGGCTCCCTGCTCAGTGGGGAGCCTGCTTCTCCCTCTGCCTCTGCCCGCCCCCGCATTTGTGTGCACTCTCTCTCTAAAATAAATAAATCTTTTTTTTTTTTTAAAGAAGAGACAGTGGTGAGCTCTTTCTCTGCCATGTGAGCACACAGTAAGAAGGCAGCCGTCTGCAAGCCAGGAACCCCTCCAACATATTCAGCCTTTGCCAGAACCCCTCCACGCCAGTAGCCTGATCTGATGCTTCCAGCCCCAGGACCGTGAGAAATCATTTATGTTGTTTAGGCCACCCGATCTATGGCATTTTGTGATGGCAGCCCGAGCTCAGACTGTGTGTCCACATAAAACCTCGTACGTGAAATAGTCAGCATTATTCCTAATAGCAGAGAAGTAGAAACAACCCAAATGTTCATCAATGAATGAATGAAGAAAGAAATGCAGTGTCTCCGTACAATGGCATTTACTTGGCCATAAAGAGAGCGGTGAAGACATGCTGGCCCAGAGCCTAGTGGGGAAGGGCCCGAAATGGAAGCACACTTACAGGGCAGCGAGGCCAGGGTGCTGAGAGCTGGGGGAGGTGGGTGGTGGTGGTGGTGGTGGTGGTGGTGAGCTGCGGGGAGGAGGGGGAGGGGGGAGGGGGAGGAGTCAGGCAGGTGAAAGGGAGGAAGGCAGGGTGACTGGCAGCCCTTGGCATTGAGGCTGGGACAGCCTGGCTGGGAGCTATAAGCAGGGGCACAGCTCGTGTGCAAAGAGGTGGGAGATGGGCTGGGAATGGCCTTGGAGGCCACTTGCTGAAGTGACAAGGTCAGGCGGCTGCTGGGTGGAGGATGAAACCTGGAAGAGAGGAGCCCATTCAGAGAGCACTGGGCCACCAAGGCGAGAGACTGAGGGGGACGGGAGGCAGACCCCAGGAAGAGTTACAGGCAGAAGATAAGGACCGGGGGGGGGGCTGACTGGCTCTGGGGGAGAGGGGAGGAGACTCTGGTCAATGGAGGGGCCATGCCTTACAACAGGGAGAAGGGCTGGTCCCGGAGTTTCGTTGCGGGCAGGTTGCGCTCAGGGTGTCCGACAGCCATCCATGCAGAGATGTCCTGTAAGCAGGTGGCCATTTGCACTTGGAACTCAGGAGAGAGTGGTCCTGGCTGGTGAGAGATTTGGGTGACCCATGTGCAGGCCTGGTGCCTGAGTCCCCCGGATGGAATGGCTGAGGGCCCTTAGGGTGGGTGGAGGGGAGAGGGCCATGGGCTGAGGCCACAAGCCAGTGGGCATCACTATTTACAGGTTGGGCAAAGACCCATGATGCTGCAGGCAGAGGAACAGCAAGCTTCATGGGGGGACAACAGGCAGTTCACATGTCCACTCGCATGAGGATCGGGCGCTCCCACCAGACTTGGCAACCAGGCAGGCACTGGTGGCCTTTTCTGGGGCAGCTTCAGGGGCAGATGCCAGGCTGTAGGAGGGTTTGGAGCATCTGCTGAGAGGGGGGGGGCAGGCTTGGGGAGAGGGCCTTCTGGGACAGCCCTTATCCACTGCGCACTTATTTTTCGCACTGTCCCTCAACCAGCTGGTGCTTCAAGAGGGCAGATACTATTTTTATGTATCTTTGTGTCTCACACAAAATCCAATTCATTCCAAACATTTTCAGTGAGCACCCACAGGGCGTAGCACTGTGCGCAGTATTGAGGATTCATGGCTGAGGCCACACGTCTGGTGGCCCTCAGGCTGCAAACGAAGCTCTGGGCAGGCTCTGCCGCCGTCTGCCCCATGACCTCGGGTGAGTTATGACATTGTCTCTCTAGGAGTTTCCTCACTGGCAGTGGGTGATTTCTGCAGCTCTTCCTGGTGGCAAAATATGACGGATCTGGGACTTCTTTGCCTGCTACTACATGGTTTGCTCACCAAGGCCTTGGCAGCATCAGAAGCCTGGGGCGGGGTGAGGATCAGACGGGGGGCGGGGGGGCTGACACTTCCCAAGTCCTCCCGCCTGCTGTCCTGCCACAGACCCCCGTTCGTTGTGGCCTACAAGGCCCTGCACACCCTGTCCCCCGTCAGCCTCTCCAGCCCCACCTCGCCTCCATGCTCTCCAGTTGTGTGGGCTCTTTGCAGATTTTGTTCTCTCTACGAGCCTTTCCACCACAGAGCCTTTGCACATGCTGTTCCCTCTGATTAGACACGCTTCCCTTAATTCCTCACCTTGTTGACTCCTCTTCATTTTTTAGTGCTGGGCCCAGATGGGGCTTCTGCAGAAGCATCTCAGGTTCCTGAGGGACAGTGACATCCGAGCGACCCACCTTCAGAGCACCCTGCACTTTCTTACTTTTGTACACAGGAATGTAACCAAGTAATCAGTTGTTTAACATCTGTCCCCTTCTGTCCTTAAGACTTGGGGGTGAAGAACCCTTGCCCTGCTGCGGGTCCCCCGCTTTAGAAGGCTCTACTCTTGACCTTCTCAGTCTGTGGTCTCTCCCCACAGGATGAGGAATCTGTGGGGCCTCTTGGAGCCCAGGCCCTTCCCTCTGGACCATGCTCCTGATATGCAAGACCCCAGAAGTCCCTGCCCAAAAGGCCCATTCCCTGAAGGGTGGGCCATGTGGGGTGGCCGAGGGGCAGCAGGGGGCAGGGGACACATGGCAGTTTGTGCTAGTGGGCCGGACCGTCCCCATGTGAGCACACGGCCTTCCCCTTGGGGCAGGATGGCTCTGAGGGCAGATACAAGGGGCAGGCTGATAGCAGAGCCAGCTCTTCTCACGCCAACGTGCCTGGACACAGAATTCAGAAGGGTCAAGGAAGTGTGGGCTGGAACCTCGTCTTCTAGGTCATCACAAAAGTGTATTTGTCAAAGTAGGAGAATAGAACATATTTTATTGAACAGTTATAACTTGACTTGTAACTTTACACTATTTCCACGTATGGTGTGAGGCCTCCTTCTGTACTTTTATCCCGGCCCTGTTGGCACGTGCGGTGGGCGTGGGCCCGCCGCCGGGCACAAGCCCCGCCCGAGAGGCCGCATGCGCAGTACCCCTGCCCCAGAGCACCGTGCCTGGCACAGAAGAGCAGATAATAAATATTGGCTGTGAGAGACAAATGAGATGATCCAAGTGAAACGCTTGGCAGGGTGCAAATGTCAATAAATAGTAGCTATTATTGTTCGCCGAACAGACGAACAGTGGGTGGGGCGGGGGGCCCAGACCCAGAAACTGAGGTGGTTTGTGTGTGCGGAGGGAAAGGGCATGGCGGGCCCCAGGGTTCACGCTTCCTTTTCCAGAGGCTGTACCCGCCTCCCCCAGCCCTGCAAGCCTCTCCTAGGTCCTTAGGACAAGGTGGGCACCAGGCAGGCCGCCGGACAGCCAGGGCGCTGAGAGGGGCTGGGGGCAGGGATCCTGCCAAGGCTATCTCCCCTCCCCGCCAGGAGCACGGCTACGGCAGGTTTCCTGTTTGCCTTCGGGATCTCCCCAGGCCCAGACAAAACCCTCCTGCCGCAGTTTCTTATGCTTTGCCAGTGAGCCCACGGTCGGGTGTGCAGGGGGCCTGGAGGGGAGGGGTAGCTGAAAGGACCGACGGCGCCCTCCCAGGAGGCGTGGTGTGAGAGCAGCCTGAACCGGACCCTGGACGGGTCACTTTGCCCACACCGCCACCTGCCTCTCTTCGTTTGTCAAATGGGATCGTGTGCGGAGACGGTGCGGGGGAGGCGGCCAGGGCAGGGTACACACTGAGGGTGAAGAACCCGCGCACACAGCACCCGGGGATCAGGGAGGGCGGCGGCCGGGACCGGAAAGCCGATGGAAATGGCCCCCGGCAGCGGCGGAGAGTGTTAGGCGGGAGTGAGGCCCAAGGCAAGGCTGGGCAGCAGGGGCGCTGTAGGCGACTGCTCCGGGGCTGACACGGGGCTCGGTCCCCACGGGCTGTCCTTGAAGGCCCCACCGGGTGCAGGCCTGAAGAAGCCGAGAAGCCCCTCACCCACACTCCTCCTCCCAGGGCCAGCCGTCCCGGAAAAGCAACTCTCACCCCAGCGCATTCTCTCTCTCTCACACCCAGCAGGTGTCGCTGTAATAAAGAACAGAACCCAAGTAAGCCCCAAACAGGACAGGCCAGGGAGAGGGAAAAAAAAAAATCACATTTTGCAAACTGCCCACCAGGGGACACCATACTGCACCAAGGGGTGCAGATTTCACTTCGGCCTTGCGGACCGCTGGGAGGCGGAGGGTCTCACAGATGAGTCCAGCCAAGCGGACTCCAACCGTCCAGCTTCCAAGGCAGGACCACTGTCGCCGCCCCCGGTCCCGGGTCCGCAGCGCCAGCCGCGAGGGGTGGGGGCAGGGGCCCGCGGTCAGTGCGGCGGGAAGATGTCTGAGCAGCGCTGCAGGATGAGCTCCACCACCTGGTTCTGGAACACCATGGTCATGGGCATGCTGGTCTCCTCGGTCTCGGGCCGCAGCAGCGTGGGCCCGAACACTATGGCCACGCTCTGCACGGACATGCGGTTCTGATCGCCGTGCTCGATCACCCTGCAGCGGGGAGCGGGGTGGGGAGGGGGGCATCAGGGCCCGGAGCTGGTGGGGGGTGGGGGGTCCGCCCGCACCCGCCTCCCCATTCCCGCGCGGCTCGCCCGCTCACCTGCACAGGTGCTGGAAGAGCAGCCGCAGCGTGTCGTGGTTGGGGGCGGGCAGCGAGCGCACCAGGTCCCGCACACAGCGGCTGCGCTGGGCCTGGTCCTGCAGCTCTGCGGAAGGGAAGGGAGGGTCGGCTCGGCTAGGGGAACGGAGGGGCTGAGTCCCGGTGGCGGGGGGGGGGAGGGGGAGGAGTCCGGCCGAGGGGGTGCGGGGTCGGCAGGCCGGCCCCATCCCTACCCCACCCGCCCGGTCTCCCCCAGGCGCTCACTGATGGCCGCGATGAACTGGCGGAAGTGCGAGAAGGGGAAGAGGGGCTCCGGCAGCTCTCGGAAGAAGAGCTTCAGGGCCCCGGTGATCACGTGGACGTCCTCCCAGCGCCCGTCGTCCAGGTCCAGGCGCTCATCTGCGGCAAGGGGAGCGGAAGAGGCGGTGAGCACCCCTTGGTGCCTTCAGGCCCTGGGGTTAGGGACGGGAGCCGGGCCTCACCGTGGTCCACCTTATAGCGCAGCTTCTGGATGGTGGCCAGGTTTCCACTGATGCGGTACAGGCCGTCGATGTCCAGCCCTGGGGCAGAGGGAGGCGCTGACCTCGGGCTGGGTGTGACAGGTCTAAAGCTCCTGCTCGGATTCCCACTCAGGGGCTCCCGTTCCCCCGCCCGCGCCCCCCCAGGGGTCTCCGTCTTGGGGTCCGGGAGGGAGGCCTCAGGGCGCCGCGCCTACCCCGGGCCTCGACGGTGCGGATGCACTGCTGCACGAAGCGCGGCACGGAGCTCCTCTCGCGCTCACACAGCGCGGCGAGCGCACAGCCGAACACCTGGTCTGGGGGAGAGGCTCGTCAGCGCCGCCCGGCCCCGAGCCCCCCCCCGCCCCACTTCCCCCTCCCCACCCCCCGGTGCGTGCTCCGGCTCCCTCGGGTACCTTTGATGTAGCCCTTCTCCCGCAGCGACTGCAGCGTGGGCCGCTTCAGCAGCAACTTGAGGAGCCGGTGCCGGACCCTGCTCAGGTCGCTCTCCGTGGTGGCTGCGCCTGGGCCTGGGAGTGCGGGGCCGGGTCACTCGGTGGCGCCGGGACTGGCCGGGCTGGCCCCAGCCGGGTCGTCACCCCCCGCCTCCCCCGCGACGCCGGCCCCCAGGGAGATGCCCTCCACCCTCCCACCCCGCGCGCACCTGCACCCGGCCGCGCCTCGTCCTCCCGCCAGCTTCCCAGGCGCTCGCTGGATCCGAAGTCCGCGCTGCTGCTCTCGCTTTCCTCCTCCGGAGGCAGGTCTGCGGACTGGAATCACGCGGTCAGAGAGGCAGGGCCTGGGGCCAGGCTTCTGGGACGGCGTGAGGGGCCCCGAGTGCCCTCCCAGCCGGCCCGATGACTCCCAAGCAGAGTGCACGTTTCCCTTCTCCAGTTCACTCCCCTGACCACCGCAGAACCTCAGAACGTTCACCTCCCTTGGCTGCATGGAGCCCTTCAGGCGTTGGAGACAGTCATCCTGCTCTCTCCCACTCTTTCTTATCCTCACCCCCCTTGCCCATATTTTCCTAGATCCTCTGCACACAACCCACTAGGTCAGCATTCCTCAATTATGTGGCTCCGAGTTCTGAACTTACAGTTCCAGCTGAGGCCTCAGCACTGCCAACAACTGCATCACCCCCCTAGACCTGGATTCCTACCTCTAGTAATACAGCCAAACTCTGTACTCAGTGTTGGCTCCTAGGGAACTGAGGGTCAAAAAGCCCCAGGTTGCTTCCAGGTGAAGAGCTGTCAGAGGGGGCCTGTTCCATCTGTAGTTATGCAATGAATATTTTGAACCTAAACAACAGCAGACTCTTCAATCCAATCCTTTAAAATTTTCCCTTCTGGTTTTAGCCTGTCATTCCAGCCTGAGGCTCTTTCTCAGATTTCCTTTTCTGCCTGCCTCCCTTGAAGTGGAACATTCCTCTAGGATGTGCCCCCGACCGGGACCTGGAGGGCCAACCCCACAGGCTGGATTTGCGTACTTAAGAAAGACTATTTCTTCAGCAGCCCATCTGCCACACAGCCCTAAGTGGGGCCTGCATCTGCAGGGAGGGGCACTCACCCACCCTCTGCTCCGCATAATGGCTGGCCACCCCATCCCCACCGCCCCGGAAGCCCCAGGCTCTGCTTACCAGCTCCTGGATGCCCTCGCCAATGGCCTTGTGCCAGGTGCTGATGATGGCCTCGGAGTCATGCTGGATCAGGTACTCTGAGCCATCTCGGCTCCGCAGCTGGAGAGACAGGAGTCACTCAGTCATCTCTGGCTCCCCGGGTCGGCTCTGGGGCCAGGCCTCAGTGGTAGGGGGTGTGGGGAGGGGAGATACAGAAATGGTGGAGATGATCTGTCCTTGTCCCCAGGAACTGAGAGCACAGTAGAGCAAGGGCTTCACCCCAGGCCAAGGCATTCCGCCTCGTTCAAAGCAGTAAGTGACAGTCTCTCTGTTACAAATGGGCAAACCCAGGCCCTCTCAAAACATAATCTGTTCTTATCTGAAAGTTTCATACAGAAGGAAAAGCTATATGGTTACCCAGCAATCTATCTCCCAGAACATTCATCCTGCTGGATGCACAGGCAAGCTGAGCTGCCCAAACCAGCTGTTTTGGGAGGACTATCACTGAAGTTTTCTGTGACTCTGGAGTGACGAGGAAGACCCGCTGTGAAAATCTGCCAGGCCCAAGTAACCTGGCCACGATCTAGAATGTGGGGCTGTCTCTTGAGAAAAATTCTAGAGGTGCCGGCAGCCCACCCCCTGAGTGGAGGGAGGATGGCCACCTGCCAGCCAGGAAGTGGGGGCGGGGGCTCCTCCAGTTCCATTCAAGACTGTCAGCTTTTCCAACAGCTTGAGTAGCTTTCAAGAGTCCCATCTGCCTTCCGGTTCTTGTCAGAAAAGACAACTGGGAAGCGTTTACTCAGCAGCATTCTCCAAAGGCAAGACAGAGAGGCGACATTTGTAGAGCACTGGCTGAAGGATGTCCCTCTAGGTGGGGGAAGGAACCTGCCCAGCGAAAGTGATGTCCTTCTTCAGGTGGACACCCACGACAGACATTGCTAATTGGTCACTGCACTCGACCCTGCTGAGCCTGGAGAAAGGCTCCAGACCTACTGACCAGAGCAGCTCAGGAGATCAATCTGGTTTTCCAGCCCTGCTCTGTGGATATGCTGCTTCTAGAACTGAATGAAGCTTGGTGGATCTTCAGAAAACTCTCAAGGGCCTGGCAGAACTGCTTTTTCTGAGCTGAACTGTGAGGTTATGCTTTTGGCTTTTCTCATGTTACCTGAAGCAGCTCCAAGGGTCCCTTACTAACCTAGGCTGGAGCTGGGCACTAAAAATGGCTTCAACAAATTGGGGAAAGCCCCCCCCCCCACCATAAGAAGAACCACGTAACTGATCCTCCTTCTCTTTTCACTTTGGCTACCAGGAAACCTGAGCTAATTTTTTTCAGCAACAACATAGCCCCTGTACATCATCTGCCCCCAATGCCTCTCCACATGGACCCCTTGCTCTAACTTGTGCCTGGTCTGGCTTTTCAGTGGATTTCACCAGCTCCCCATGTGTTTTTGTTGTTGTTGTTGTGAGCTTCCTCAGAACTTCTGGGGACTGAAGTGAGGGTAAAGGTAGTTTAAAAGCAAGACAACACGTGGACAGTGGAGGGTGTAGCATCGTGAGGGTCGTTGCCTGGGCCCCACATGGTCCCAGTCTTCCTGCTAGGGGAGCCTGGGAAACTGGGGACCCAGTTTATTCACGGAGGACCCAGTTCAGTTGGAAGCTGGGCTCTGACCGGCCAGAGCAGGTTTCCAACCTGTCAAAGTGAGTAGCCGGGGACAGGGAGTCTCCTATCTGGGATGAGGGCTGTCCTTCCAGGCATGGGTTTCATCCCCCAGAGACCCCTTACTCCTTACCACACTCCAGGGCCAAGGACTAGTAAAAGGGAACTGCAGAATCCGTGATGCCAGAAATACCATGGACGGATCCCCAAGGTGGACACCACTTTGGCTTTGAGCCCTGAGAATTCCAGTTCCACTCTCCCTTTCTTGGGGATTGCCTACTGAGGGTCTCAAGCCATCAGTAAGCCCCCTCTCCTTCTCCCAATCCCCACCACTCACCTCCAGCACATTCTTCCTGCTAGATTTGTCCTTGGGGGCCCAGGAGAGAGAGGCCCCTCTCAGCTCCACTGTGTACTCAGGGGTGGAGAGCTTGGGAGGCTGCCTCTGTGGGAGAGGAGAGAAGGGTTGGGGGGGCACAGTTAGAGGGAGCCCTCAGCTCAGACAGGCCTGCCATGGCTCCTGGCTCCAATCCACCAGGCTCCCCTGGCTCCAGGAACAGAATGGGGAAGGGTTCCTGGAACCCAGAGGTCCTGGGCTGGCCGGTCCTCTGCTGCCTGCCCACCAAGGAGAGGAAAGGAGAAAGAAGAACAGCTGTCATGCCCGGGAGCAGGCGTGCCCAGTCCCTAGTCTGCCTGCCCACCAGGCTGGAGTGGCCACCCTCAAGGACAGCTCCCCATGTCCAGGGTGGCTGGAAGTGCTTGTCGTGGGCTGAATCTGCTGTCGTCACCCCCTGCCAAGGCCCAGCTCCCCTGGCACTCATGTTCCACTGTCGCAGACCTAGCCCTTGACAAGCCAGATCAGGTAAAGAGCCATAGGAGTCAGGAACAGATTGGGGGGGGGGTCCCTGTCCTGGGAGTCTGGCCCTCACCAGGCCGCCTGCAGCTGAGGCCTTTGAGTCCTTGAAGAATGTCAGCACACCACCCTCCAGCACCGTCCAGGAGGCGCTCCAGTGCTTCTTCCTAGGTGGGGGTGGGGAAGTGGGGGGTGACCAGGCTTGCATCTGGCCCTGGGCTGAGGGCCCCTTCCAGCGCCAGGAGCAGGGCACAGAGCTGAAGAACACAGCTCGGCTTGGGGCATCCAATGGTGACCACTGGACTCCCATTTCTAATACTTGGTAGCTAAGGGACTCTGGGCAAGCCCCTATCTCTCGGTGCCTCAGGGTCCTCATGGGACCTCTTAGAAAGTTGCCATGAGGATTAACAAGAGCCTGGCATACAGAACGTGCTCAGTAAATGTCATCGTTAAGGCCCAGCCCGCCCTGGTCTGGGTGCAGCCGGGCTCTCACCGGAGCCGCCTTCCCTTGTCCACCGTCTTGGTACGATGGAGCACACCGGCCTTCTCCAGGGTCTTGGTCTGAGAAAGCCGAGGGGAAAGAGGAGGTAGTTAACGGGGTGGGCCACAGGGGGCAGAGGCTAGTCTCCTCCACAGCCAGCAACTCCTTACAGGCTGGGCCTGAGTCACCACTGAACTGCCTTTGCTGCTGGTGCTGGTGGGGTGCCTGCCCTCACGCCAGCCAGCAAGAGAGATCTCCTCCCAGCTCCCAACCTCACCCAGCCCCGGGCCGGGGATGACCCAGACCCAGGTTCATTCAGCCCAGGCTCGTGCTGGGGCCTGTGGGGGAGACATGCCCGGCCCTGGCCTAGCCCCAACCTAGCCTCAACCTTCAGGAAGCCCCTATTTCTTCTGTGGGGGCCCTGCCAGGGCCTACATGCTCCTTCCCTTACCTTCTCCTCAGGTGGGCTGGCCTGGGCTGGGGTTTCACTGTCCTGGCCAGATTTGTGGATGCTTCGAGGAGCAGGGACAGGAACCTGAGGAGAAAGACACTGTCATACATAATCCTGTCCCCTCTCCCCAAGGCTCTCCCTTTCCCAGTTGGTTACCTGGGGCAGCTCCCACTGAACTGAGGCGTCATCTGGGTTGTAGAAGTAGGGCTTCCCGTGTTGATCCTCCAACCTCACCCACTGTGGGGAGAGGGATGGTCAGGGCTCCCAGCCCACCTCAGTGGAGGGCAGGCAAAGTTCCCCTTTGATCAGAACCCAATATACCCCCAAGGAGTTTGCAGGGTCAGGCGCGGCAAGGGGGTGTCTTGGAGCCCACCCAGGAGCTGCAGTTTATGGTGTGAAGGTGAGCTACTAGTGAGGACGAGTTGGAGGAATGACCGGGGCGGGGGCTGTCTGGGCACATCTGCCCCGCTGCCCGTACCTGCTCTTGGGTGAAGTGGTTGGTGTAGAGCGTCTGCCCGTCGGGGCTCACTTGGCAAGACCAGCCGGGGGGCGTGGCCAAAGGCGAGGTGGACCGAGGCTCACTGAAAGAGCCCACGGGGGAATAGTCCTCCTCCGGGTAACTGGTCAGCGACTCGGGGTAATCCGTCTCAGGGGTAGGGGGCTGCAGGGAGCAGAAGACTGAGTCAGAGGGTCTCAGAGCCAGTACGCACCCTTGGCCCCGCCCTTTTAGACCAGGCCTCGCCCCCCACGAGCAGTCTGGGGGCTGTGGTGAGCAGGAGGCGGGGTCTGAGCCCTCAGAGCCGCCCCGCCCCCCCAGGCCAGGCCCCGCCCCTCTCCCGCCTTCCCGGGGGCTGCGGGGGGCAGGAGGCGGGGTCTGAGACCCTCGGGGGCCACCCCGCCCCGCTCCGGGCGAGGCCCCGCCCCCGGCCAGGCCCCGCCCCTCTCCCGCCCCCGCCCCCCGGCCAGGCCCCGCCCCCTCACCCTCTGGTCCCTGGGGCTGAGCGGGCTCAGGCCCGGCTGCATCTCCAGCTCGTCCTCGGGGTCGTCCTCCGTCTCGTCCTCCCAGACGGTCTCGCCCGTCAGCGGGTTGTAGAAGAACACCCTGCGGCTCTCCTCATCCCAATACTGACCCCAGTCGGTCTCGAGGCTCTCGCGGCTGCCCACCGAGGCCGGGGAGGTGGCTGGGCTGGCGGCGCCCTCAGCAGCCTCGAAGGGCGACTCCCAGGTGGTCACGCCCGTGTCTGGGTTGTAGTAGTAGGGGCGCCCGCTGCCCGCGTCCGTGTGCGTCTCCCACGCCGGGGGCCGGGGGAGCGCGATGGCGCCCAGCGAAGGGACCGAATGCTGCCTCTCTACGTTCTCGTACACGGGCTCCTCCGGGGGGTCGTCCACCTGTGGGAGGAGGAAGGACACGTGACCTTCAGGGCAGCTCCGGGGTCACACAGTCCCGACTTGGCCACTTGCCTTCTGGGTGACCTTTGGCAAGTTAGGGTACCCCCGGCTTCAGTTCCGCCGGCTGCACAATGGCTGCCCTGCCCGCTCCAGAAATTGTAGTGAAGAGAGAATGAGGAAATATTGAAAGTGCATTGCAAAGTATGAAATGACCCAAATGCATAGGGCAGTTACATTAATTATTTATTAACAAAAATAAAATATCGATAACTGAGTTCTCCCAGCTGTGCACTCACTCTGCACTCCAGGGGGCGAATCAGAGGCTGGGCGGGAATAGAGAAATGGCCTGGGCCCCATTCCTTTTCCTCCCGGTTCAGGTCACACGGGGGGGGGGGGGGCAGGGCCCTGCGGCACTCTACAGCCCCACCCCTCCTTCCTTCCTGGCCCTGAAAGCTCTGGGACTGGAATCAGTACTACTTCTGGATCTGGGACTGAAACTTCCTGAATGTGGGTTTTGCAGGCCTGAGAATCAACTACAGAGAAGGGAAAGAGAGGAGAGCCAGATGGAGGAAGGAAGGAGGAGGGAGGAAAGATGAGCCCCTCTTGCAGTCCAAAGGAAAGCCAGGTGGGCTGGAGGGTTCAGTCACACAGAACATGAGTCTGGTCATACTCAACACCCCACTGCTCCCTGCCGCCTGCCGGGCAAAGTCTACAGGGCACCAGGGCACCAGAGGCGTCTGTCACCTGTCTGTCTTCCACCTTATTTCCGGCCATTCCTGGTCCCTTGCCTTGAACTTTAAGCTCTAGTAGCAGGGAATTGCTGGGGGCCCCACCCTCTGGGCTGTGTCTTCGGCCTCAGCCCATTCACAGCCCGCCTAGGCCCATCCCCACCCCTTTCTCACCTGGCCAACTCCAGTTCCTTCTTTAGGACTCAGCTCAGGTGTCAGGTTCAAGACCTTTTCTGACATTCCTCTAGTGTGCCCACCACGGCCTACCACCCTCAGCCTGCCAGAGGGATAGATAACTACATTATCAAACCCCAGCCAGCAGAACAGCACCAGAAGATTAATATTGTTTCTTTTCGGGACGCCTGGGTGGCTCAGTTGGTTAAGCGACTGCCTTCGGCTCAGGTCCTGATCCTGGTAGTCCCTGGATCGAGTCCTGCATCGGGCTCCCTGCTCAGCAGGGAGTCTGCTTCTCCCTCTGACCCTCCCCCCTCTCATGTGCGCGCTCTCTCTCTCTCTCTCATTCTCTCTCTCTCAAATAAATAAAATCTTAAAAAAATATATTGTTTCTTTTCTTTTTTTAAAGATTTTATTTATTTATTTGAGAGAGAGAGCAAGCAAGTGAGAGAGAGCACGGGGTGAGGGGCAGAGGGAGAAGCAGACTCTCCGCTGAGCAGGGAGCCTGATGCAATGCGGGGGGGAGGGCCTCCATCCCTGGACCCCAGGATCACGACCTGAGCTGAAGGCAGATGCTTAACGGACTGAGCTACCCAGGTGCCCCAGATTAATTCTGTTTCTTTTTTTTTAAAGTTTTTTTTTAAAGATTTATGTATTTGACACAGGGGGAGAGAGAGAGCATAAGCAGGGGGAGGGGCAGGCAGAGGGAGAGGGAAGCAGGCTCCCCGCTGAGCAGAGAGCCCGACACTGACTGAGCCACCCTGGCGCCCCAATACTGTTTCTAAGAATATATAATGCTACACGGGAAATGCAGATTTCAACACAGTGAACAGCATATAGTTCCAATTATGTGTTTTTAGAAACCCTCCAAAATGCTAACGGAGGTTATCTCTGGGCAGTGTGATTATAGGGATTGGGTTTGTTTTTATTTTTTTCTTTAAACCTTTCTCAAAATTTTGTATAATAACCACCCCCGCCCCCCCTTTTTAAATCACAGAAGTCCCTCTGTGACTGTAATGCCTTCGCTAAGCTGTAAGCCCCCCAAGAGGGGAAGCAAATCCTGTCAAGGTGGCCTCTCCCCGGCCTTAGGTAGGCGCCCAAAACCACATTCATGTGTCCCACAAAGATTCACCTGTCCAGTGCAGGCTCTGTTCTAGGCACTGGGAATGCAGTTAGTGAACAAAGGGACCCAAATCCCCACTGGGCAGCCTGTGTAAACAGTCGGGGAGCCGGCCGGGAGCCGGGCAGAGGGATGAGTGAAATGCACGCACGTCCATGATAATTACTGTTAGCAAGGAGACAAACTCTCAAACAAGCAGCAGCGGGTTCTAGACCAACCGGGGGGGGGGGGGGGGGGGGGGGGGGGGGGGGGGGGGGGGGGGGGGGGGGGGCGCGCAGGTCCCAGGCCTGGGGGGGACCAGGAAGAGCTGGGTACACTAGTTCCTCACTCCCCCCCCCCCCACAAGCTCTTGTGTGGCTGAGGCAGGACCCTCCACCCTACTTCTTTCTCTCTGCTGGCTGCAGCCCCCCTAAGCATCCCGGATCCCACCCACTCCAGCCCGCGGACCCTCACCCAAACACAAAAGCCGTCTTCCCATCTCTGGACCTTTGCTCCAGGGGTCCCTCAGCCTGGAAACCGCCCCCCCTCTCATTACCTGCCTACCCAGACCCCGCTCCTCTGCAGCTGCACTCCAGGGCTCCTGGGAGAGACCTTCTCCCTCAGGAGAGAGGCCTAGCCCGCTGTCACTCTTCATCCCCTGCGAGGGCCCGGCAGCGTTCTGCCCTGCTGGCCTGTTCGTCATCCGCCCCTCTGCCTACCTCCTCTGACCCCAAAGGCAGGGGTTTTTTGAGAGCAGGACCCAGGATGATGTAATTGACCCCAGTTGCCCTCCAGCAGGTGGCCCAATGCCTTAAAGCAGGCAGCTGGTCCACCAAAGGGACTTACTGCCTGAGTACGCGAGCCAACGCCAGGCCACACTTCAGCAACAACCAACACACGCACACCCACTACAGGAGAGACTGAAGTTAGCTTTGAACAAGGGCTTCCTGGGAATGAGGTTCAGCACAGGAGCCAGGAGACTCCTTGGGAGGATGGGATGGAGGCAGTGGGCAGAGGAAGGTGGTTGAGCAGACACACCTCCTGCCCACCCCAGCTAGACCCACTGAGGCAGTGGCCTTCCCATCCCTGCAACAGGGGCTGGAAGGTCATATGGGGCGGGGGGTGAGCTAAGGAAGGAGCCAGGCTGTTTGGAGCGGGAATTTCCACCTGCAGACTGCTGGTCTTGGCTAGGAGTCCACGGGGAGTCCCGGGCTGGTCATGCTGAGGGGGATCTTGCACAAAGAACACCCCTCGCAGATACAGAGCAGATCTAGGAGGTCGATGCTTAAGCCCCTGGCATGGTAGGGCTGTTGTGAGGAAGGGAAGATGCAGGATCGCACTGTGGGGCTCCAGACTGCAGATTAGAGGCCAAATGGGGGCAGGACAAGGCCCCCTGGAAGGAAGCACATTCTAAGGATTGGCGCTGCCCTAGAGACACAGGCTGCTTCGGGAGGTAGTCAGGGGCTTTCCCTGGGGGTGAGCAGGCAGGGTCCAGCCCCTGTTAGCGACATTGCAGCCCTGTGTGGGGAGCTGGACCACAGCAGCCCTGAGGCCCCTTCAAACTCTAGAACCCTCTGTAGGGCCCCCACAGTGCTAAGAGAGAGGCGCTTTCCTCTCCTAGCAGAGTCAGGATCAGACTGGAAGCCAGGTGGGGCCAGTCCCTCCGTGCCCTTTGGCCTTCAAGGGGAAGCTCGCCCAGGTTAGAGCAGGGCCTGCCACCCCGGCCCACAACTCCTGGGCGCCCAGACAACACCCCGTCGCAGCCTGTCAACAGGGCCCTGATGAGGGCACCAGTAGCTCTTGAGGCCCAGACCCCAATCACAACAGCGACACGGGGGACACCAGTAGGAAAGGGGAAGTGGTCCCCCACCTCAGGCCAGAGGACAGAGCCTAGAGGGGCTCTGGCTCTCACCACACCCAGCTGCCCGGCCCCCCAGCACTCCCCTCATCTCCAGTTCCCTCCCCATGCCCACAAGCAGGTGGCCGGCCTGCCTCTCTTCCCCCAAGCTGATCACCATCTCTCAAAGTCCCTCTGCAGCCCCCGACAGATATGCCTATCTGGCCTTGGAAAAGGAAGGAGGAAAGAAGGGAGGGGTCCCCCAAGTTTGGGAGATGTCCTGCTCCAAAACCCAGCTCACCCTCCTGAGAGGGCCGGAGGATGGAGGCCCGCTGGGGGCCCCTTGACGCAGAGGCCCTCAGCCATCCCCATCAGAGGCTGAGCTTGCCCCCAAATGCGAGGGTCCCCTACCTGTGCCTGCAGGGCCCGACTCCGCCTCTTGGTCAGCTTGGCAATCATGTCCACCATCCTGCTCCCTCGGAGCCGCTGGGACGGAGCCCTGGGAAGGTTTCAGGGGTGGAGCCAAGGGGCACAACCCCAGGGCTGGCACGGGGCAACCGGGGAACAAGAAGTGGCTTTGAGATGGCGGGAGGCTGAGCCTCCAGCCCATTTCCTGTCGGGGCTGCGGAAGTGCTGCCTGAGACAGGCTGCCTGATAGAGGGTGGGGTGGGGTGAAGTGGGGGTGTCTCAGGTTAGGGGTATTTTTATGTGTCGCGGGAAGCACTGGCCTGATCCCCGGCAAGTTCTGAGTCCAGGGCCCAGCCACAGCGGGGGAGCATGACGGGACGGCACTGGGACCGTGGGTGGGGGAGGGGAGGCCATGGGAGGGGGCGGAGGGGGGCGCTGGGTGCGGGGGCCTGGGCTCGCCTAGACAGGACACGGAGTGGCCCTCAATTCCCCCAAAGCCCCAGAGAGGATGTGATGGGGAAGAGGAAGCTGGTGTGTGTTGCAGGAGGGAATGTCTCAAAAAGGAAGGGGCCTGGGCAGCTGTGATCAGAGGAAGCCGGTGTCTGGAGTCCTCCAGCCACACAGACGACAGGAGGGGTTTTGACCAGGCCACAGTCTACTCGCCTGACTGCCTGGGCCCACCTCCTCCGGCCTGGGTCACCGAGATGCGTGCATGCGCTCCGCCTGCTTGTCCACTTACACGCTCCCACTCTCA